AAATGTTCGTATTTTTTATTTTTAAGTTTTATTTATTGATAAAGTCAAAATTTCAAAAGATATTTTCTATCCCTCAAAGTATTTTAAATTTATTTTTTAACTTAAATAATTGTAAAAAAGATATGCTCTTTTTAAACCCCAATCATTTCTCTCTTCACTTATATATCTCAAATTTCTCTTTTTCTCTCTCTTCATGCGTCTCTCACTCTCTCTCCTCTTGTGTTTCTCCAAATACCCCTCTCTCTCCTCCCAGTAACCTCTCACCTCCATGAAACCCTTATCTCTCTCTAGAAATTTGAGAGTATTATTTTTAAAAAATGCATGTCGTTTTAGATTTGTTTGGCTTAAAAAAAAACAAGTTTAAATTAGTTCAAGGGGTTAGAAGAAATAAAATCTACAATTTTTATGCCCCAAGATATCTTTTAAAACTTTGGGTCTATTGTGAAATAAAACCAAAAAATAAAGGGTATGAAGATATTTTCTCTAAATTCTACATAATGTTTATAACGAGACCATTTATTTTTGACATAATCAAGTCACAATTATCATTGACCCGTTAGATTTGATATCAACTGGTTGAGGATGTGTTATTGCTTGAGTACAAAATCCAAAATAAAATGTTTTGAATATTGTGATTTACTTTCATTATTTGGATTTCACATCAAATGGCTAAAATTGATTGTGATTAGATGATTTTCCAACTTTAAAACAGCTTTTACGATGAATTTTAAAGGTATACCTTAATCCTACATTTTAAGGTTGAAACCTTATATAATTTTTTTTCAAAAATAAATAGTCTCACAGTATAAAACCTTTTTCTGTATGATGAATTTTTTAAAATAAGATTTAATTCATGTTATGATAATTCTAGAAAATTTCAAAGCTCTTAGAATTTGAACAACTTCTCTCTTCCATCCCTCGTGAATGTCCGCTCTTCCCCTTTTGGATCTGTTAAACCAACCCCTATACATTCGGATTGAAGCTGGCATCGATAGATGGGCAATCCTTCTTTCATAATTCATCTTCCTTCTAAGGGATGAGATTGGTGGTTTTATTCCCCCATCAACGACACACGTGACATCGATTGCTTTTCCCCCCTCAGGTGGAGGGGCGATCGAATTGATACTGAACACAAGAGATGGTAGTGGGGACGGGCCACCCACAATTCCAACTTCTAGTGGGTACCCGTGATAACAAAGAATAGCCCTACCTCGAGCAGGAATAGGTAGGTCAGACCTAGCGCGAATTGAACAACAGTCGTACTTTGTTTGATCGATTGATCAGATTTCTGAGAGTGCGAGCTTGCCTTGCTAATCAAGGAATCGGGCTCTACCAGATTTGAAGCACCGAAACGGTTTTGGGCGGGGATAATAGACCTACATTTTGGATTCATACCAATGTCAGATATGATTGTCCATTAAATGCATGCCTATATTGAACTTTAAGGGGGGCTTTGGTTTAAGCAATTTCTATGCTCTAAATCAATTTTTTCCATCAGCATTTTCAGTAGATTTATGATTTTCGAAGTCAAACAAATTCCCTTTATCCGCATTATCAAATGTACAGTTTGGACGCATGGACCACCAATTCTTTTATTTTCAAAATTAGGATGGGTACAAAGTTATTGATACGAGTATATGAAAAGGGGAAGAATGCAAACGAATACGTAGAGACAGGACCACTTTGTCTTTTTGATGTGACTCTCCAACCACTAAAGTTCATTAATTCCAAAAACACCCCCGACCCCACGCTAGTCAAATAAGGTCGACTGCTTGTTTGGACCCCCTTGTGGTCCCGCTTCCGTTTCCAACCTTACTTTTTGCCCCTTCAATCAAAATGCCTTGGTATTATTGACGAACAAAACAAATTAATTATAAATTATACTTTTATCATAAATATGAAAATTTGAAGGCCTTTCCACGTGTTGTATTCCAATAATACCACGTTGAAGCCACAAAGGAATGCACTCAGGTGCCCATCTCGGCCGCACATTTTTTATTCAATTATGAGAGAGAGAGAGGAGCCTTGGCCTTCTTTGCTGCAGTTATATATATATATATATATATATATATATATATTTTGGTAGATTTTATGATAGAATAAAATTCAAGATATTATGTTGTACAACTCATCTCCTGTCATGTAGTATAAAAGTAAGGTGCATCTCTAAAGCTTTTGTTTAGTTAGTGAAATTTTTTTTAATTGATCATCTTGACATTGAGATGTATTAACATGAAAAAATAATATATTCTATGTTTCAAAACTTTCAAAATTTTATAAACCAGTGCAATTTGTATAATTTTTGGAGATTTAAATTTTGTAATAAAGAGTTAAAACATATTTTTTTAACATTTTATTTTAAAAAAAGTTTATATTAAGGTTACAACTTAAATTGTAGAATTAAATTGCGCCTTAATCCATTGAAAAAAGTTGTTTTAACATTAAAAAACTATCTAATTGATTATCTAGAATATGGATATATATAAAAAAAGATTTCAAGTCTAAAAAATAGTACATTTTACAACACATTATTTAGACCATCTATTTCAAGATTTGTTTGATCTAATTAACTTTCGATTTTTGAAATTGTATAATTAGATATAAAATATATTCTTAGGCCATTCTAAGAAATTTGGATGCCAAAATTGCATCTTAAGATAAAATTTAGAAGTGCACTTTATTTTGATTGTTTATGGTTGCGACCTTACGCAAATCACACTGTTTTTTTTTTGATATTATAGAAGATTTTTATAGCATTATATGAAAATTTGGCACCAATATTGCATCCTTCGATAAGATTTGACAGTGAGTAAATTAATGCCTTATATAAATCATACCTAGTCAAAATTTGTTAAAAAAAAAAAAAATTTATATATCACAATTAAACCCAAAGACGCGACAAATGGGGGTCGAAGGCAAATGCCACCAAAATTGATGAAGTCGTAACAAGGCTATGCTTCACCAACGTGTGACTAAATGAGCTCCTCTTTCTCTATCCATTTGAACTTTTTGCAAAGCAAAATGTTCTCTCCTTATACCTTCAACATCTCTCTTTTTCTTTCTTACAAAATTACATATCATGATTTATTTTTTTTTCGGGGTAAATCTGTAGGGAGAGAGCCCCAACTCATTTTTATTATAAAAGATGAAGAAAATAAAGATCATATATATACAACTCTATAACAACAGGTGACTTGTGCCGAAGACGTATCATCATTATCATCATCATCATAGTTTTTGTTTTCAATTATTTGAGGTTGACTATGCAAATCTTAGTTTTTCATTCTGCTTTATCATGATCATACCTTCAAAGAGGCTATAAGTTCTCATATTTTTTTTCACTACTTCCAACCTTATTTTTTTTTAATCGACCTTTTGCTCTTTTTGAGCATTCCACTTGAATTAACTCGTATTTCATAACAAGCTTACATAATTTGACTAATCAAGTAATATTACCAGAAAGAAAGAATAATCTTTACAAGAGTAAAGAGACCATCACTTACCCCTAGCTCCGGCTGATTCACTCCTAGCCTTAGCCAGACGTTTTGCAAATTCATTGGCTTCTCTTTAGATGTGTATTAGAGATATCCAACAAATTGTTACGGTTAGTGTATCTTATTTAAGCAACATTGATTATATGTCACTGTGAAGGGAAAGTATAAAGCGAGACCATTTATTTTTAATACAAAGAGGTTACAATTACTCTTATTTACCAGGTTTCAAATCGGATGGCTCAAGGTTAATTTTTTTTTCCCTCAAACTTTGTGACACACCCCAAGCCATTCAATCTAATATCTAATGGCTAACATCAATTGTGACCTCTTTATAACAAAGATAAATGATCTCATAGTATACAATCCCTACTTTAAGATATCCAATATTCGAAAAATAAGTGTGAATTTGCACACCTAATATCTGAACTTGCTCATTTATAATTTTTTAGTGGAAGACTAGTTACAATGTTCAAACCTGTCACCCATTTCAAAAAATAGTTTGATAAAATCTAAAGTGGGTCAATTTGGATATTTGATTTTTTTGAAACTCACTTGTGATTTTTTAAGTGAGAATTGGGTTCAGCTATTAATGTCTGAATCCCTCTCTCATTTGAAAATATATTAGTGAAGCATGTAGAATCCGAATCAGTCCCCCCCTTAAAAGAGTACAAACAGTCATATTTGGTTATCTAATTTATGAAACCGCCATCATTTAATCTTTCAATTGGGAGAAAGGTCACGATATTGGATGTCCGAATGGTCCCCTATACACAAATAGAGCGGTTGGGACAAACTACTATTTATAGTTAGGGGTAACTAGGGGATATTAAGAGGGCAAGCTTTATGTGCTTCCCCTAAAATATAAAACTTATATATTTTTTATTTTATTTTTATCCCACTGTCCATTCTGAATGAAAGGTTAAGATTGCACCAATCACATTAGCATATCTCTACATTATTTTATTTTAATTTTTTATAAAATATTTTGATATCAAATTTTGAGAGTCCAATCTTCTATTAAACTCACACTTACAAAAAATATAAAAAAATATTTTTAATAAATTAAAATGATCGAAATATCTTTGAAAGATTCAAAAGGTAGTTTGTTTATTATATTTTATAAAAAAAATATTTTTAATAATTTTTATAGGTGCGTACTAATAAGAAGATAACTCATACCAAATTTTATATTCATATTATGTAAAATAAATTAAAAATAAAATACTTTAAAGCATCAATCTAAGATCAAACTGTGAGTGGCTCACTTACATCAAAACTAAACAGTTGGATGGTAAGAAAAGCGTAGATTTTCTATGCGCCCGGGGAAGTATAGAAACCTGTCCTATCCAAAATTGTTTGGTTTCTCTAGGTGACAGATCTTACAGATGAGAGTAAAATCTCAACAATTCAGTAAAATATTTTTTAAAAAAATTGCCCCTCGATGGCTGCTTAATGTCCTCTTTCTCTCTCTGGAATTTTCCTTCCCTTCTTTAAATACCCCTTTCAGCTCCCAACAAGAGCAAGAAATCGGTGGCATCTACCTTTCACCAGAGAGAGAACTAGAAATCAGCACGATGACTTGCGTGGTCGACCCGACTTACATCCAACCGGTGGAGTACCGAGCCAAGCCACCGGTTCCGGTCGCCGAGAACACGCCGATCATCGATTTCTCTCTCCTCTCCTCTGAAACAGTAGACCCTGAGGCTAAGGCTAAGCTCGCCAAAGAGGTGGGTGCAGCTCTTAGAGACTGGGGTTTCTTCCATTGTATTAACCATTGCGTTTCTAGAGAGATAATGGATAGAGTGAGAGAGAATTTGGCCCTCTTTTTTCACCAACCTTTGGAGGAGAAGTTGAAGGTTAAGAGGGATTTGAATAACCCGGTCGGGTATAATAACACTGATCACACTAAGAATACGAGGGATTGGGTTGAGGTTTATGACTATATGCTTAGAGATCCGGTTGAGGTTCCTGCTTCACATGATCCTGAGGATAAGGATATTATGTTGTTGAGGAACCAGAGGCCGGCCTTTCCACCTGGATTCCAGTATGGCCCTCTCTCTCTCTCTTGTTTCTCTATTTTGATGTGTTTCGCTTAATTTTACTTTTAAGCAAACATTTGTTAATTTTTTGATTTTTTTTTTTATAGATTTTTAACCATTTTTTTGTTTACTCGAACTCAATCCGAGTACTCGGCGCAAGTAGTAATTTTCAACACTTTCTCTTGAAACGTAAGTTATTGGGGCTTGTCTTTCTTTGATGGAAATTTAAGGATTTGGGTTCTCTTTGAAGAGAATTACACACACTTCCCACTCTTCCATTCATGTTTAGAATCTTACTCTTTCAGATTTTAGTTTTATCTCACTCTTATTTCTTGATATATGTCTAGCTCTCTTCTGAAAATTATTACGCCTCTCACTCTCTTGGGGTCCCTTTCTCATCAAAATCAAGAAGTGGGTCATTTTGGGTGTTAAGTCACTCTTAGTAAATCTCTCATCTCTCTCTTTCTCTCTGTATTTGTTCACAGTAAAAGCAAAACATTTCTCACTCCCTCTGGGAACATAATCACAGTAAAAGATTTTCTGTCTATCTCTCATGTAATATCTGATAAGGACTGTAAAATAAAAATATTAGCAAAAAAAAAAAATAGTAACCAAATTATGAAAAATAGAAATTTAGAAATACTAGAAAGATAACAAGAATTTATATTTTTTCTACAATAAATCCGTTCAAGCTCATGCCATTTCATATTCTTCTGTTGCCCTATCATTGTTTTAACGAATTCATAACATAATTTCCTTTTTGATCATTTATGTATTCATGTTAGCCTGATATATTTTCCACTTTATACAAGGAATATGTCCTGCAGTCCTGCTCTGTTCTCTTTGAGGCTTTCGGGAAATTTTTGTGAATATTTTTTTTTTGCAAGGTATTTAAAAAAGATTTTACACTTTTTCATTTGGAAAACATTCTCTGTACTTTAAATCACATCCTCATATCTCCTCTTTTTCGATTCTTTTTATGTTCTTCGAGAGGCCCTGGATCTGGAACTCGATATCTGTGTTTCTTTTTGTTTTCCTTGTTTTGGGGTTAAAACTCCAAGTTCCAGCCTAAATTTTATCGAAAAACAGATGACATGAAGTCCAGCCAGGCCCGCCCTGCCCTGTACCTCATCTATTAAATATCAACCTCAAAATTGGCGAAATCTAACAACAAATTTCGATTTTTGAACAGGGATGTGGTCCATGAATACGGGCAATATTTGGAGAAATTAGGGTTTCAAATATTGGAGCTGGTGGCCTTAGATCTGGGTTTACCTGAAGACAGGTTCGAGCCTTTATTTGACAATCACGCGAGCATTAACAGGCTTAATCACTATGACCCATGCCCTGCCCCTGATTTGGTGCTTGGAAAGGGTTGGCACTCTGATATTAGTGCACTCACTCTGCTGGCACAGGGCGTGCCCACTGGACTCGAGATCAGGGGCCTAGACAATGAGTGGATTAAGGCTAAGTCCATCCCTTATTCCATGACCATCCAGAATGGCGACCTCATGGAGGTATGATTCCTTTTTAAATAAGCACTAGAATTTGATATCGATAAAATTGAAACGATACAGAGAAGATTTGCATGACACTCACAGAAAAAAAAAAAAGAAAAAAAAAAAATCTTTCTCACTCTATTTCTCTATCTATGAGTTGAAATTCGGCATTGCGACTAGAGAACTGATACATTATACACCCCCCTCTCTCTTTCAACCACATTATCTCTGGATCCGATTGAGGAGACTCCAGAGCTTGAGTTGGATGGGGCTTTAGAAAAGAATTTAAAAAAGGAAAAAGTTTGTAACTTTGCAATAATTTACCATTTGAATGATATAGATTTGATATTATATCAAAAAATGGCATAGTTTTTTTACACTATCTTAAAAACGCGTTAAATATATACTATTCAACTAAAATACTCACTGTAGAAGATCAAGGTTGCTATATTATATAAACCAGAAAAATAGTCTAAGAAACACGTAGAGATTCTGGGTTTTTTTCTCACACGACAATTAACACCCCTGTCTCATTTCAACTCAAGCAATTCCGAGTAGCAATTGACGTGATTTCAATTGCAATTTTTAAATCACAACTCTACAGTGGGAATATCCCAAGTGCTGGACCCTCTCTCCCCTCCCCATTGACTCAAAAAAAAGAAAAAAAAAAAAAAAAAAGGGGAAGGGGAAGGTAAATATATGGGAAGCTGCATGGTAATAATTAGATCACTGCCGTTTAATCAGAGTGTTGGATGGTGCCTACGGGAGGACCAGATGTATAATTGAATGTGACGTGTTTTGTTGTATAATTGAATGGTGACGTGTTTTGACTGACCGACTTAACATATTTATATGGAACGCACCCACTTTGGCACGATCGAAAGACGCTCGAGACAGAGAGAGAGAGAGAGAGAGAGAAAAGGGTACTCCCGAGAAAGAGTTGACAGTAATAAAGACGCTGATAATCTATAAAAATATTGTTCTCTCCCTGATGAAATCTTGTGGATAAGAGTGGCCTGTCTTTTTATACGAGACGTAGCTTTAGAAAAGTCGACTCGGGGCGCGCGACGGCCCATGCCCCGGTCGAGTGCTTGCTCAACTGATGCGGAGTACTATAGCACTTGAAAATTATTTAAAAAGCAAAAAATTTATCATAAGGGCCTTTCTATGTTTCCCCTACAACATAAAATTGTGCTTGAGCCTCTTCCCCTACAACATGAAACGGGCTTGCTCAACTGATGCTGAGAGTACTATAGCACTTGAAATTTATTTAACAAACAAAGAATTTAACATAAGGGCCTTTCTATGTTTTCCTTACTACATAAAATATATATTATTCCCTTTATCCAACCCTCCATTTTGAATGGAGGGTTAAGATTGGCCTTATAACAATGTCACAACTCTGCACTATTTTATTTTTAATGTTTTTTATATAAGCTATTGTGATACCAAAATGTCTCCTTGTATACATTTTCGTCTTGAAACCGCACTCTCTCTCATTTATTCAGTGTTGTTTGATTGCAGGCCTTCACGAACGGGCTATACAGAAGTGTAGAGCACAGGGTGGTGGTGAGTGGAGAGAGTGAGATGTATTCGAGTGCCCTAGCCATTGTGCCGGCCCACCATGTGACTGTAGAGCCACTGCCTGAGCTCATAAACGAGCAACACCCATCTAAATACGTTGGGTTCAACTATGGCAAGTTTTTCATGGTCAGGAGGCTCAGCAACTACAAGAAACTGGATCACGACAATGTTAGGGTTCACAACTTCAAGAAGAGTGCTTAAATAATAATTTGAGCCTTTCTCTCTCTCTCTCTCTCTCTCTCAATGTGTCTCTCTTTCTCTCTCTTGAATCGCTGTGTGTATTTTGTATTCTGCTGCACGGTTGAGTGGAACCTTGATGTTGACGAATGGGGGTGTCTAGCAATAAAAGAGTTTTCCCTAATTGTTTTTTTATGTGTATTTCATCATGATCTGTCAGATTGTCACGTGGCCATCTCATCAGCCATTGGCTTGATGAGAGGGATCCTCTTAAGTCTATGG